TTGATGTGAAATTCAATTGTGGGATAAGTACAACAAAAATGGAAAAATAACAAAGAGAAAATTAAATTTCTTATTAGTTAAATGAATTTTATATAGCAGCTGTGGGTGTAGTCATTAAACCCGAACCCATATTACAGGGCTGCTTATATTTTAAAGAGAAGCCAGTACTATCACTTATGAGTCTAAATTAGATGAAAGCAGTGACCATTTTTAAGAAAATTTAAATGTCAACACCATAACAAAATCCTTTGTAGTCTAGGGCAATGAATGGCCTTAAGGTATGGCTAAATAAGTGGGAAAATAATGTATTATTGACTCAAAGAGTCTCCTTATTGTAGATTTGGATGGATACCAGAGCATATTTCTACCTTCTCTCTTCTAAAACAGTTACCATGAGTCAAAATATCTTGATGCTGTTGGCCAGGTAGCAGATATGAAACTTATACACATTTGTTGAACTTTGACAATCTCTGTAAAGCCTATTTGCGAATGACATTTTTATAAAAATCCCGTCTTGTATGAAATGTACAACTTTTTGCTTTCTGTGTTACTACTGCGATTCGCTACTCTTTCTCTGACGTTTGTTCATTCATATTACTAGGGAGTTATATGACATTTGGAATGAGTCAAACTGAGATGGGAAAATGCTTCCATACAGTAATATATTCAAAAGGAAAGGATTCAAAAAATCCTGTGGGATTAATGTAGCACTCTCAGGATGACCTTAAAACTGAAGTCTTTATAATGTTATGTGTAAGCTAAACTAATGGAGAAGGATTTGAATTTAGGGGAAGAGGACTCTAGGTATTTCCAGAGCCATTTTATGTACTTCACTCATGAGTTTATAAGAATTATGTGAGTTGCAGGGTGGTTTGATTCAAAGCTCAAATGGCTGGAGTCCTTTTGGGCAAATAAGACCACAGACAGGATTTAAAGCCATGCCATAGTTTTCCTGTATAGCACTCTGTGGTTCAAAACAAGCATACCAAATGGTTGCATACCAAATCTTAGGCTGAAGGAATCAGGGAGACAGGGCAAAATGGGTGCTTGAATACTGGATTAGAGGTTGCTGTTACACTAATTGAATGCTAAACTTGACTTTGTGCAATTAATTTCAAATAGAATTGAACGGAAAATGCTATTTTAGTAGGAATACCACATTCAAATGAATGGTCACTAGCCTCGGTGCTGCTGTTTTAATTCTGGGGAATAGCTGAGCTTTCAAAGGAGGAAGTGTAATGTAGTGGCAAGGGTCTTGGACTAGAATCTGTCCTAGCTTGTTAACAGAATAATTTTCTGCCCTCAAGTAAGTCATGCAATCTTCCTGAGTCTGTTTTCTTCTTCTTTTTGGCCATGCCACATGGTTTGTGGGATTTTGGTTCCCCTACCAGGGACTGAACCCGAGCCCTCGGCAGTGAGAGTGCACAGTCCTAACCACTGGACAACCAGGAAATTCCTGTTTTCTTCGTTAAAAGTGAGGCTAACCTCTGCTGACCTTTAAGTGTGGGGGCACAGTATATATCAGACACTTAATAATTGTTTGTTCATTTATTTTCTTATTTATTGAGTGTCTCATATATGCCACGTACTGTGCCAAGAGCTTTTATGTGGAAATGCTCTGTAAACTTTAAAGTGTTATTCAATTTAAAGGTGTTTTTTTTTTTTAATTTTTTGGTGATACTGTGCAGCTTGTGGGATCTCAGTTCCCCAACCAGGGATGAACATGGGCCAAGGCAGTGAAAGCCCAGAATCCTAACCAATAGGCCACCAGTGAACTCCCTTAAAAGTGTTATTATTAAATCCACATGGTTTACCCATTGAGCCATCCCTGTCATAAAGCATTGGATAAATATTTCTCAACTGTAGCTGTAGGTCAGCATGAGCCTTGAGAAATTTTCTATTTTGTTTAATCCTTATGCAATTCCAAGACAGAGCTTGATGTTAATTTTGGTCACTCTGAGGACACGAAAAGTTTAAAGGCACTGCAAATTGTGTTTGAGTGCCACAAGGCAGAGCACTCCCTCATGTGAAAGCACTTACTTCATTGTGAAAGATACCAGTGCTTCATTTTCTCCTCTCTGGAAGTTTTGCTTTCCTATATGGGAAGTCACCTATCTCATTGGGTCTCTGTAGGCTGGGTAGTGATTGTTTCAGGGCTGATGAGGGAGAAGGGTTGGAGATTCAAAAATCTTCCTGTGGTGTCCTGTAAAATGTTCTGATAGTGCACTCCCTTATACAGTTGACCCTTGAACAACACAGGTTTGAACTATGCGAGTCTACTTTGTTGACTGAAAAAAAAACGCACAACCTAAAAGTTGAGAATTAGGTTTAATTTGGCAGATTTTCTGAGGACTTAAGCCCAGAAGACAGCCTCTCAGATAGCTCTGAGGGACTGCTCTGAAGATGTAACAGGGAAGAGCCAATTCTGACTCCCTGTTGAATCTGTTTCTTATACTTTAACCTTTGCATTTTGTTGCTTTTGTTATTATAATCACTCTCTATAGCTGTAAGCATACATAATGACCTGCCATAGGGAACCCTGCCCCTCTGCCTGACTGTTAGACTAAAAGCCCTTTGTTCAACAGAGAGACATTCTGACCCTGCCCACCTGTGAATGGCTGCAGAAAAGAAGAAATTAACACATCCCCTCCTATTTTGCAAGATAAATGGCTTTTTTACTTTACTTCCTCACCTCCTCTCCCTCTCTGTTCTATAAAAGAAACTGGCATTCAGATCCAGATAAGATGGCTTTTTGGGGACCCTAGTCCGCCATCTTCTTGGTCTGCCGGCTTTCCAAATAAAGTCGCTATTCCTTGCCTCAGCACCTTGTCTCCCGATTTATTGGTCTGTTGTGCGGGAAGCAGAATGAGCTTGGACTTGGTAACAAAGAGGTAAGGGAGGAGCCTGGATATATGGAAAAAACAGGCAGTCGGAAACTCAAAAGATAATTAATTAAATTATCTAATTAAGATAATTAAATTAATCAAAAGATAATAAAGTTAATTAAAGAAAACCAGCCATCTGCTGTTAATGAATTTAGCACTTTTCTATATATGGGAAGATGCAAGAATCTTGAGCTCTTTGAAGTGATTCCTTTGATATGCACCTTAACTATCTAGGGCCAGTATCTGGGGTTGTTTTCTATCCTGGATCCCCTCAGGGTGCACAGGGAGGCTGCAGTAGCTGATGGCTAGTTGGCAGCAACATCCTTTGTTTACTGATATGGCAGGCAACATTCTTTGTTCACAACTTATACTTGGATTTGTTTTAATGGTAAATACTATAGTCTACACCATCTCTGGTTGATTGAATCCACAGAGGCGGAGCCACAGATATGAAGGAACCATGGATACAGAAGAACCATGTATAGGGAGGGACGGCTATAAGTTATATGCAGACTTTCAACTGCAGGGAGAGTCAGCACCCCTAACCCTCATGTTGTTAAAGGGTCGACTGTAAGGTAATGAGAAAAAAGTCTATACAGAGGTTTGTACAGATTTTAAATGTAGAATACAGGAGAAACAACAGAAGAAAAATTAAAAAGAAAAGAGAATGCATAAAAAATACAAGGAACAGGGACTTCCCTGGTGGCACAGGGGTTAAGAATCTGCCTGCCAATACAGGGGACACGGGTTCGATCCCTGCTCTGGGAAGATCCCACATGCCATGGAGCAACTAAGCCCGTGCGCCACACCTACTGAGCCTTCTCTCTAGAGCCCTTGGGCCATAACTGTTGAGCCCGCGTGCCATAACTACTGAAGCCCGTGTGCCTAGAGCCCTTGCTCTGCAACAAGAGAAGCCACCACAATGAAAAGCCTGAGCACCACAATGAAGAGTAGACCCCACTCACTGCAACTAGAGAAAGCCCATGCGCATCAACGAAGACCCAACTTGGCCAAAAACAAATAAATAAAAAATAAATAAATTAAAAAAAAAGAATACAAGGAACAGAAAATTAAAGACTATGTCTGCAGGAAATATGACAGCCAATGGCTGCTGAGAGACAGACAGAGCAAAGGCTTAAAATAAGATAGTCAAGAAATGATACTCAGTTGATTATTGGGCTTTACCCTGAGTTTTACCTTTGGAGGTATCAACTATTTCAAAGAAAATCAGAATCAGGTTTTTGGAGACCTGAGGTAGGACTAGTATTAAGCAAAATAATAAAGGAGTGGTTAATCTTTGGTATCTGTTTCCTCTTTGCACCCATCTCAGCTCCCCCTCTTTCTTCTAGTTTCACTGGGTCCTTCCAAATGCCTAACTTGTGCTTATTTCTAAAGATACCTTGACCTAAGTAAGCTTTGATCCACCGATAAAACATCCAACCTTTAGACCTTTCTATCCCAGAGTTTAGGAGAGATACTTTAGAGCAGGTGGTACCTGTCTCTCATCCTTCAAATCATGCCATGTAAGTGCTCTTCACATGAGTGCATAAGAACATGCCTGACTGCAAAGTAAAATCTGATTGCTTCCTACTATTACACTAATCTTGGTTCCTCACCTCTTTGGTATCTCATGTGAATGTCCATTGCACTTGTTTTCTTTCTTACTTTTCAAGAAAATAAATGCAACTAATTATCTAGCTCTTACATATAGTCTTACAAAAGTGTCATCTTACATATAGGGACGACACTACTGCTCTACATTTCTCTGAAACTAAAATAACGTTTAGTAAAATCATTTATTTAAATGATTTCCCCCTTAAGCTACTATATTCTGAGAGTATTTTATTTTTGCATAAATGAAGTTACTATAAATCTGTTTAACAGGAATTTTTCTCTTTATTGTTCCAGGAAACTAACCCTAAAATGTCTGCATTGTTTGATCTTTGTTATGGTTTTACAAGTTCATTATTATTATAGTGTTATTTTTCAGGGCTACCAATTTTTTAAATATTCTAAAATACGATGAGGTAAGAATATAGATTATTCTCTTGAGACACATTGTTGTAATTCAGCTTTCTTCATTGTCTTTATTTTTTTCTGTGTTTTCTAATACAGATGACATTATAATACTTAGAAAGATAGGTATGGACACTGAAGAAATAAAGAATGAGACACAGAACGATAAAAAAAATACCTCAGTTTCAAGACAGCAATCAAATGCTGATAAGCATCACCAGCAGAGAGGTAAAGTATACAAAAAATCACACGTGGTAAAAAGAGTCTGAAATATTTGTGAGTAACTGGGAAAGCAAACTCACAAATTTGGAATGTGTTCTAAAGTTGCACTGTGTTGCTAGTTTTATCTTTCCTGGAAATGTATGCATACAGGATTGGTAAAAATTTATGCCATGACAAATGAAAACAAAATTTTTAATTTATATGAGTTACTTCCTTAAGAGAGAGCAGGATAAGAGTGAGAAATGTTTTGTACTTGTTCCCAAGCCTGTCTAGATGGTCCAGTTCCACTTTAAGGAGGCAATACAGAAGGGTTAAGAGTATGGTTAATAGCCTGAGCACCATGGCATCCACATTTTGAAAAAATAAATGCTGTAGGGCAAAGAGAGTGCAGAAGAACATGAAGAAAGCCTTTTGTATCCCTAATCACATTGGTCAGTGCAGTGTGCATATTTTAATGTGAACGTGCTGTGTATTGCCATAGTAGAGAATTCTTTTCAACAATTAACGATCTCCATGGTCTAGTGAACAGGTTGGAACCGTCTTGACATTGTGTGTACTCTGAGCCCCTTCCAGCTGTCTACCCATGTTCCTTACAGTATTTGTTTGAATCCTTCAGTGGCTTAGCAGGTTCTGAGAAAAGGAGGGATGGTGGTTATTATAGGGGCACAGCTGCTAAGAATGGTAAGGGGGCCAATCTCATGTTTCTGACTAAACATAAAATTGATCTTCGTGAGCCTTTGGAGAACTATATTCTCTGATCATTCCTTAAGCTGTCTTTACACCCAGATCAAAGCAGATGATTGAGGCAAATATTCATATGATTAATACAAAACAGTTTCTCTGCATCTCTCTTTATTCTATTAGAGTATTCTTTCAATGAATTTCAGATAATATGTCCAACTTTGGTGGCATATGAAACCAAATTTGAGGTGCTGTATACAGAGAAGACTACTATATTAAGGTATACAAATAGAAATAGTATGGCAAAGACTGTTCTAGAGTTCACCGAGACTCTCAGGTGATATCAGATTAATGAAATATCAAAAGTTTTGCAAATACCAGTGCATAGCTTGAAAACAATGAGATCACAGGTATTACTTCTGAAAGATATGTTGAATTTACTGACTGAAAATACAGAAAATAATTATTTTTTAAAGGATACTCAAGATTCATAAACAACGTTGAGGAAAGAAATGATGAAAAGCCAAACGGAGAAACTTTTGGATTCAAGTCTGGACAAAGCTCTTTAAACAGGCAGCCTTCAAAGAAGCAGGTAAATAAATACCAAGAATTAACCAATATAAAGGTCCTAAATTTAATATATTTCTTAATATTAAAGATTATTTAAAATTCTATTAAGAGCGGGGATTGTTTCTTAGTACTCCCCCATGCTGCCTGAAGCATAATTTAACTTCAATATTTGTTAATTGATTTTTCCTCTGTAACTGTTTTTTTTTAAATTAAGTTATTTATTTATTTTTGGCTGTGTGGGGTCTTTGTTGCTGTGTGCGGGCTTTCTCTAGTTGTGGTGAGTGGGGGCTACTCTTCGTTGCAGTGAGTGGGCTTCTCATTGCAGTGGATTCTCTCGTTGCAGAACACAGGCTGTAGGCACGCGGGCTTCAGCAGTTGTGGCACATGGGCTCAGTAGTTGTGGCTCGTGGGCTCTAGAGCACAGGCTCAGTAGTTGTGGCACACGGGCTTAGTTGCTCTGCAGCATGTGGGATCTTCCCAGACCAGGGCTCAAACCCGTGTCCCCTGCATTGGCAGGCAGATTCTTAACCATTGCACCACCAGGGAAGCCCCTGTAACTGTTTTAATAAACATTTATTTTTGCTATTTTCAATCACTGCTAGAAATTTTGAATTTATAAAATGCCAAAAGAGATGACTGTTTTCATGATTCGTCTTGTATAATCATTCTCATTTTTGTCCTTATATAATAAGAGTTGTTGATCTTAAGTTTTAGTATAAAAACAGTTTTAGTAGACTTGTGAAAGAATTGTAAAAACTAAAAGTCAGATGACATTAGTGTATGACATAAACTCTGGAACCAACAGATGGGACTTAACTATAGTTGTACATTTTATGGTGGTAAATCCATCGCCTCTAAACTTGTATAGATGAGCCAGTCACTGGACAGAAATTTTAGAGCTGCTCATATCCAGATTCATAAGTTAACATTGATACTATGGTTTCAGCTTGCCCTATAAAGTGATTCTTCTTAAAGTGTTATGTGGTCATTTAGTAAAAAATGTTGGTTCTGGGAGCTTAAACCATTTTTGCCAAATTATATAAATGCAAATTTTGGGGGAAGGAGAACATGTTGCATATTCAAATATTTAGAGGATTGATTTAGCAAATGTTAATTAAATGTCTATTCTAGGCACTATGCAAGGTACCAGAACAGTCCTGCTTCAAATATTATATGTGGTGGTGGGAAAGAAAGATAAGAAAGAAATTTAATGCCAGGCAGTTTACAATACATGTTCTAACAGGGTTATAAGTTATATATTGTGGGGATGCAGCAATTCATTCTGATTAAGGGGATTTGTGAAAGTTTGACGGAGGAGATGGTATTTAATCTGTAAGGTGAGAAAGTTTTTGATAAAGTTTGGAAAGAAGGACATGAGCTTACATTACAGTATGAAACACATAAATGAACTAAGAATATTGTAAAATAGTATTTTCAAATTGAAAGCATCTTTCTTTTAGAGGTTCTTTTTTTTTTTTTTTTTGTGGTATGCGGGCCTCTCACTGTTGTGGCCTCTACCGTTGTGGAGCACAGGCTCTGGACGCGCAGGCTTAGCGGCCATGGCTCACGGGCTTAGCCGCTCTGCGGCATGTGGGATCTTCCCGGACCGGGACACGAACCCATGTCCCCTGCATCGGCAGGCAGACTCTCAACCACTGCGCCACCAGGGAAGCCCTGAAAGCATCTTTCTATTTCTCATACTTTTCAGACATTTGAGACTGTCATTATAGCAAAACTCACTGGAAAAAAGTACTCTGCAATATAGAAATGTATTAAAATGTAAACATAATTATTCTACCAATAAATTGAATAACAATTACAGCTTTCAATCATGCATTGAAATTCTAATAAGCTAGCTTTGTATTTCACAAGATTTAATCTTAATATCAGTAAAACACGATTGTATTTATTCAACACAACTCTTTTTGATAGTTTCTGTTGTTTATGAGGAAAGTTTCTGTTTTTGATAATTTCTGTTGTTTTCTAAAGGTAGAAATCTGTGGTATCCAATTTGACGAAATTAGTTTTTATATAAACATTTGCAAAAAGACCACAAGTTCCTTTGGAAAGGTACTTGGATGCATATGGGTCTTTAAGAGATAGGTCTCAATCCTTCCTGCTGACCCACTGTGTTCCCAACACTAGTCACTTAGAAAAGAAAATGTACATGTGCATTCCACCCAATCTCCTTATTTATGTTTTACAGTAGAAAATCTGGAGTGTGACTATGGCTTTATGCTTTAGCAAAGCAGCAGATTTGTCATATTTTTTATTTTACTAAAGTTTTATGTGAATAATATTCTTTATACCAATACCTCCCCTTCCTTTTAATAGTTGCATTCGGCTTCTGGTAGTGTTATACTACAAAGTCACAGTGTCAGAGCTAGGGCATATTTTGTTTGCCAGGCACTATTTGCTAGTGGAAAGCTTGATTTCTTAGCATGGTCCATATGACTTTGTCCACTTACATTTATGTAGCATCATAGAGATTTGTCAAGGGTTTCATTACTTTCATTTGACTGATTCATTCCACTGCCCTTTTGATTTAAAAAGTGAAAAGGTAGAAAGACTGAGTTGTTGTCAGACCAGTTTACTTTAACAGTATTAAGCCTACCTTCTGCTTTCTTTATAGCTACCTATCCCCTCACTTATTTGTCTTTCCCTCTAGAATTAAGTATTAATTTATATAGAAGAGATAGATAATTTATTGTAAGTTTTTTTAAATTGAAGTATAGTTGATTTACAATATTGTGTTAGTTGATAGTTTCTTTTTCACCTGATTCTGAACAGGTGAAGAATAAATAGTATGATTTTGAACACTTTCTTGTGGTTCTAAGGATTTGTGCTACAAAATATTAAATATTCTGTCTCTCAACTATAAAGTCAAAGAATTGGTTGTTTCTTTAGGTAAAACACAGATCCAGAAAATGGTAGGTAGAGTATGACCTTGGAATATATTCAAATTCACAAAGCAGTTAATTTTCCATATTTAAAACATTTTATTAAAGTTTTATATGCATAATATTCTTTGTGCCAATGCCATGAGAGATCAGAGCTTTCTACATATTAGTCCTGAAAACTGTTTAGTCTTTAAAAGTAGGGGCAGTGGGGCTTCCCTGGTGGTGCAGTGGTTAAGAGTCTGCCTGCCGATGCAGGGGACACAGGTTCGTGCCCCAGTCCAGGAAGATCCCACATGCCACGGAGCAGCTGGGCCCATGAGCCATGGCTGCTGAGCCTGCGTGTCCGGAGCCTGTGCTCTGCAACGGGAGAGGCCACCACAGTGAGAGGCCCGCATACCGCAAAAAAGAAAAAAATAAGTAGAAGCAGTGGAATTCTAAAAAAAGAGTTTCCCATAGAAATGGGCTTAACAAAATATCATTATGAGTTAATGAAATCAATAGGGTATATGTTTCATTTGTTTTTCAAAATTGCGGTTCTTTGCAGGAGAAGTGCAATGAAAATTCTAAAGCCCAAGCAGTGATGAATCAAGGCCAATCAGAGAGGAACCAACATCAATCAGAAGGATCTCAAGGCCAATCAGAAGAAAATCAACACTATTCAGAGAGATCTCGAGGCCACTCAAAGAGATCTCATGGCCAAGCAGAGAGATCTCATCGTCAATCAGAAAGATCTCATGGCCAAGCAGAGAGTTCTCATCGTCAATCAGAAAGATCTCGTAGCCAATCAGAGAGATCTCATCGTCAATCAGAAAGATCTCGTGGTCAAAAAGAGAGATCTCATCATCAATCAGAAAGATCTCATGGCCAATTAGAGAGATCTCATCGTCAATCAGAAAGATCTCATGGCCAAGCAGAGAGATCTCATCGTCAATCAGAAAGATCTTGTAGCCAATCAGAGAGATCTCGTGGTCAATCAGAAAGATCTCGTGGTCAATCAGAAAGATCTCCTGGTCAATCAGAAAGAGCTCATGGCCAATCAGAGAGATCTCGTGGTCGATCAGAAAGATCTCGTGGTCGATCAGCAAGATCTCATGGCCGATCGGAGAGATTTCATGGTCAATCAAAGAGATCTCATGGCCAATTAAAGAGATCTCGTAGCTATACAGAAAGATCTCATGACCAGTCGGAGAGATCGCATGACCGCTCTGAGAGATTCCACAGTCACTCAGAGAGATCTCATGACCATTCAAAGATATCTAATGTCCTATCAGGGAGATCTTATGGCCAAACAGGGAGATTTCATGGTCAATCAGAGAGATCTCATGACCAATCACGGAGATATAAAAGATACTCATCAGTAGAAATTGAATTTAACAGGTAAAAACAATGAGTACTTAACTATTAATGTGTTGAGTGATATGGAAATGTAAAGGCATGCTTTATATATCTATATTTTAATGGCTAAATATGTATTTGTTGAAACAGAATTGAACTGGGACAAAGATATTAATAGAATAGAGGTGATGTATTCATGGCATCAATATTCTTTCAACTTACTGATGCCCTCTAGCTATCATCCAGTTTCCTAATTACCCTAATTAAGTTGTTCCATCTAGGTCAGCTTCCCTGGAAGAGCTCCAATGTACTCAATCTTTCCTACTGAGTCTTTCCCACAATCAAAGTATATTGACTCAGTGTTCCATTCTCTTTGAACCTTCCAACTTGCTAGGCTAGCTAATCTAACAATGAACTATGCTAGATTGATAATATATAATTTCTGATAATGAATTCCTCTGTTTCCCTCCTCTACCTCCTTTCTAAAGAGTCTTCAGGGAGCCCTCAGCAGACAAATAATAGGTGTATCTTCGGGCAGCTGAACTTTTCTGCTTTCCACAAATCAGAACATAGGAGAGGTCTAGCTTATGCATAGTTGCAACCCTAACCTAAATATATTTTGAATATTGTGTATATTCACTATTGCCTTACAAAACTGTTAGGCTAGGTCTGTCCGCCCTAACAAAAGGACTAGAGAAATTTAATAGTATTGCAGATTGTTTGAGTTTTAAAAACCTCAAGACATTTTTATTGTAATTGGCTAGGTAATTGAGTAAAAACATTATTTTTAATTTAAATTTCTCAGTGATTGCCTTCATTTTGCATTGCCTATAAATGTCTAGTCAAATACTTTAGCTCATATTACTGCATAGAGTTGCAGTTTTCAGCTAAAAAAATTATTTCCACAATGTATATGTGGGTTATTGTGTATATAGACAATGTCTGATGTAGGCACCGTTTTAATGCTAAAGGCCCCACCCTACTTATATTAGCAGTATACAAACAGTTTCCCATAAAAAAATTAACATATGTTTAACACTGATGGTAAGCAATTATTTCTACATTTATCAGGGATTTTCATGTTTTGCTTCATTTTACACATCCATTTTTGTTTGTCAAGTGGTATAACACTTCCACTAAGGCACTGAAATTCCACTTACTGTTTTCCAATGACATATTCTGTCATTTTACAAGTGCATTTTAAAATATAATGAACAATTCTGCTCAGTTTTTTCTCCTTTATCTTCTATTATTATAATTTTTTTTGTATCCTTAGCACAAGTAAGTAATTCTTGCTTGGTTAAAGTTATCAAATGTAGAACTCTTACTAAAGAACACATAAAGTACAGAAAATTAATATACTTTGATAATTGATCCCTTGGAGATTAATTCTTCTACTCCATAACTTTCCATTCTAATATATATATATATATATATATATATATATAGGTTGACCAGTTAGGTTTAATAATATCCTTAAGACCTGGAGTTGGCTTATGCACCACTCAGGCTAGCTTCACCAAAAGACAAACCAGAAATGCTAAACTTCTGCCTTAATTTTTAAGGCATTTCTACCTTAAAAAAAAAAATAAGTCACCAATGTAGAAGCCCAATGTGGTCTGAACAAAAGACAGGTAACTAGGCAAGCATCTGGAATAAAATATGGTAGCATATTTGGAATATTATTTATTTATGGGGACTTACAATGACTTTTTTCAATTTTGAAAAACCAGTATGATTCTTTAAAATTCTAAAGAGGATTTATTATTGTAAACAAGGTGTGAATTTGTATTTTTAACGCCCCCAAGATACCTGATAACAATTTCAGCGTTTGCTCCTTTTTCCTGATTTGGTAATTATATCCACAGTCAGATGTTTTCCTTGGCTAGAGTAATATGTAAATAGTAAAGCTTAACAAAAAAAAAACTTTGTAACCTCCACTAAGTAGCTTACAAGAAATGAGTGGCAAAATCTGTATATCTTTGCATTAGCTGGGCTGTCTACCTGATGAAAGCTTTTCTAAACACAGAAAATAGCTTCAGAGGAAATGAGGTGCTTAGTTTTGGAGTGCTTGCCGTTTAAACTCCAATTATAGAGTGATAACTGATATATCTCATTACCATTACATCATTCAAAGTAATTCCTGAAGTAAATTCAAATCTGATTATAATCAACAAATCAGATCTTTGGATCTTTCAAAATAAATGATTGCTTTTTAAAATATCACCATTTATGATTCATATCAGGACTTTTGCAAAGAAAAATTGGAGTGAATACTTACAGAAACAGATGCAGCAAAGAAATGATACAATGAACATGAGTCCAAGTGTAAGTATCAGCACTTTCAAATTTATAGCAGAGAAACTGTGTGATTTTACAGATTTTCATTTGAATAGGCTTTCTTCCTGTGTCTTTGTTGGCATCTACTTATATTGATGATTAATATATTTTAAAACCTGTTTACCAACATCAAATGTAGGAAGAAGCCACATATGTCATACATGTCTTCATGAGTCAAGTCTTTCCAGCCTTTTGGATAATTGCTTGCACAAAAAAGTTTCCTGCTCCTCTTCCATTACCCCCCATTCTACCTTATATTATTTAGCTTCTAAGTGGGCACTAGACAAAAGTGAGAAAGAATGATACAAATAAAACTTATTTGTAGCATGTACTTAATATTTTAAACAATCTTTTACAACCGTTGAATCCTCAGGACATTGTCTTTATTTTACTATTTATTTACTGAAGATCTATGAACAGCAATTACAAGAAATGAAGTAAATAGTATATTGAGTAAGCCAATTAAGTCCATTTTGCTGGAAACTTTCATCTTTAATACAGAACATGTGTGTTTGACATAAGTGTTTAGATGAAATTGAGTAGATGTAGCTCCTACCTGAAACACCTAATATTTATCCCTACACATGACACTCTGGTATTTCTTCCAGTACTTCTACCTGCAGGAAAAGACAGGCTAGCTTAAATAGTAATGTGATATACTGTAAAGCGGTCTAGTCTGGGTCTCAGAGAGTTGGCTTCCCTGCCTGGCTAATCCCCTTAGTAGCTGTGTGTATGACCATGAGCAAGTGACCTCCCCTGCTGTAAATCTTAGTTTTGTTCCCCTGTGAATGAGATTAGAATGAAAGATATCTATGAGATGGTTAAAGAAATCTAAGTATTATGATCTAGTAGCTAATGACAGGGGCTTTGGATTCACACTTGGATAGAATCATGTTTCTACCACTTAATTTCATATTTAATCAATTCTAAGACATGCTTTTTTTTCAGTTTTCAATATCTCTGAAATCAGGAAATGTCTTGCATTTAATGGTATAGTTAAATTGAAAACTTAAAATCTTTTTAGTGGTACATAAAATAACAGTACATGTTACAATCATGGTATCTTAGATTTGATGAAACATGGTGGCTGAGGAACCTTGGTCAAGTTCCTTTGAGCCTATTTTCTCAGCTACAAAATGGGAACAATATTGGCCTCTTAGGTTGTTGTGATGATTAATTGAAATATATGTAAACATTTTAGGCTAGAAACAGGATTGTGGTAAGCATTCTATACATTGGAATTCCTATTATTTTATCATTACTATGATGATGATTATATAAACTTATTATAATCATTCCTTCAGTGTTCATTGTGGCAATATTAACATGATAACCATAAAAGTTCTTACATTCTAATTAATTTTATGTGATTCAATTTATATAAATATATATACACACATGTATATATACACACATACATATATATGTATGTATACACACTCATTCATTATTGAAGGGATTTTCAATGTGAAGTGAGAAATCCCCACTGGAATATAGGGGCAAATACGAATATTCTTTAAATAGGAACAAAACCTCTAACAGGCTTCCAGATACAGTTAAAACCTCACAGGTGTTTCTATTTGTCCATTCATTTCTTGAATCTGACTTCAGTTCCTACCTTTCTATTAAATTTTACTATCAAAAATTTATTACTTTCGGGGCACCTTCGGAGCTGCGGAGGAGAGCGCAGCAACAGGGGTGCAGAGGGCAAAGCGGGGAGATTCCCGCACAGAGGATTGGTGCCGACTGGCACTCAGCAGCCCAAGAGGCGTGTCTGCTCACCCGCCGGGGCGGGCGGGGCTGCGAGCTGAGGCTCGGGCTTTGGTCGGAGCGCAGGGAGAGGACTGGGGTTGGCGTCGTGAACACAGCCTGAAGGGGTTAGTGCACCACGGCTAGCCGGGAGGGAGTCCGGGAAAAGGTCTGGAGCTGCCGAAGAGGCAAGAGACTTTTTCTTCCCTCTTTGATTCCTGGGGCGCGAGGAGAGGGGATTAAGCGCGCTGCTTAAAGGAGCTCCAGAGACGGGCGCGAGTCGCGGCTGAAAGCGCGGACCCCAGAGACAGGCAGGAGACGCTAAGGCTGCTGCCGCCACTGCCAAGAAGCCTGTGGGCGAGCACAGGTCACTATCCACACCTCCCTTCCGGGGAGCCTGTGCAGCCCGCCACTGCCGGGTTCCCGGGATCCAGGGACAACTTCCCCGGGAGAACACACGGCGCGCCTCAGGCTGGTGCAACGGCGCGCCTCAGGCTGGTGCAACGTCACGCCAGCCTCTGCCTCCGCAGACTCGACCCGCACTCCGTGCTCCTCCCTCCCCCACGGCCTGAGTGAGCCAGAGCCTCCGAATCAGCGGCTCGTTTAACCCCGTCCTGTCTGGGCGAAAAACAGACGCCCTCTGGCGACCTATACGCAGAGGCAGGGCCAAATCCAAAGCTGAGCCCCTGGGAGCTGTGAGAACAAAGAAGAGAAAGGGAAATGCAGATTAAAGCTCCACAATCAACTTGATGTACCCTGCATCTGTGGAATACATGAATAGACAACGAACCATCCCAAATTAAGGTGCTGGACTTTGAGAGGAAGATTTATGATTTTTTCCCCTTTTCCTCTTTTTGTGAGTGTGTATGTGTATGCTTCTGTGTGAGATTTTGTCTGTATAGCTTTGCTTCCACCATTTGTCCTAAGGTTCTATCCGTCCATTTTTTGTGTTT